ACACCCCAATTTTAGTAATTATTTATTAATTAAATTAATTGATTAGTTATGTAATTTTGTGCCTACTTGATTCAATAGATTTAATTGAATTATGTGATTTATTTGAATTAATTAATTTATGTGATTTATTCGATTTACTTGAATTATTTGATTTATTGAATTTATATAAATTATTTGATTTATATGAATTATTGAGTTTATATAAATTAATTAACTTATTTAATTTATATGAGTTAATTGATTTAATCTAAATATGTGATTTATTGAATTAATTAAATTAATTGATTTATTCTATTTGGTAGAATAATGTAGAATTGTTAGATTATTTAGTTGGACTTAATTAGGTGTGTGAATAGTAAGTGAGAGTGGGTTGGGTTAAGCCCAATTAATTAAGACAATGTTGGGGTTTAACAAAAGAATAAAAAGATGAGAATGTTAGTAAAGAGGGAAAGAGGAGTGGAGAAGAAGAGAAGAATCAAGAGAGAGATCTCAAGAATCATCAAAAGTTAAGGTAAGGGTGAATCTTTATATGGTTATGAGATTGTATGATAGTGTATGATGAGTAGTATCACTTTTAGGATAAAAATCCCTAATTTTCATGATTTTGAAATTGATGGTTACATGATATATGATAGTAGGATCCTTAAATATGTGTTTTAGGGTGCTATAATTGTCATATAATGGTAGTATTTTGAATTCTGGAACTAGAACTTTTTACGGAATCGAATTCGGAGGTCCGGAAGACCTATAAATTGCAAAAATCACACTTTTATGGTTTGCTGTCTGGGAGAGTTTGCATAGAGAACCAGTAGAGAAAGTCCATGGTTTAGATTCTTTAATGAGTTGCAATGCAAGTTGTATTTCGCATAGTAAAAGTCGCGACGCGAGCAGTAGCGAACCTGTAGCGAGAGATGGGAGAATGAACGTAACTTTTGATCCGTAATTCCGTTTTTGTTCCCTGTTTGAAGGGTTGGAAAGCTAATGAATAGAGTTATATCATAGTATAGATAATAGAATTTATTTCCCAATATTTTTATATCTAATATATTTGGGAATTCAATTGTGTATATGTTCTATTAATGAATTGTTGCACTGTTTGCTGCCGATTGTGAAATTATTGTGGATAATTTATCGAATACTTGTGTGTTTGCTTGTATAAGTATATTTTGGGTGTGAAAATATGAAATGCATAATAGTTATTGCTCGTTGTAATTATAATACATTTGTGATTGTAGTGTGAAATGTGTTGAATACCATTTAAAAGTGAATTGTGTGTGTGGATGATTCATAAAAATGTGCAAGTATATGTAATTGTATGGTAATTCAAGTGTGATGAATTATTGAAGATATGCATGAATGTTAATATTAGGGAATGATCTTAATTGCATATGGTTGTTGAACTTGCACACGCATCATTTGTGTCAAGAGACAATGCTTGTGAGTTTCGTGGGAGCTAGTGACTTGTCCCAAAACTAGAGCGAGGTTTGAAAGTATAGGGAATGAGCTTTTGTGTGTTATTGGTTTAAGGAACGAACCCAGTTTAACTGTAAAAATTGAATAATAATAATAACAAGTGTGGGTACCACATGACATGAGTTGCATTGAGTTTTGCATTGAGTCTCATTGTGTATATGTTTGTGATATAAGATTATGTGTATCTATGTGAGCTGTTGATTTAGTGAAATTATAGATTGTGTGGATATACTTGTGAATGGTATGTTACTTGAGTGATACTTTCTTGATGAATCTTTTAAAGTGTGAGAATAATTGTGATTATGCTTGTATGACTTAAATTATATATATTCTTATGATTTCGATAATTATGTGAATTCTCACCCTTCTGTTGGAATGATGTTTTGTACGACATCGCTCAGGTACCGAGGAGTAGAGTTCTTTCTAGCGCGAGGTAGCCGTTGGAGTAGCTTGTTTAGTTCTTTATTTATTTTGGGTTGAGTCGTGCTCTGATCATGTAACACTGAGATATTTCAGTTTATGTTTGAGAGATACATTATGTACTCTACTTTATATTTTTATGATTATTTGAATTATGTGGAGTATAGGCTTTATGCCTAAGTATTGATTATGAATGAGATGAGTATGAGACTTTCATTATGTTAATTTGTGATTGAAGTAATTCCTGCTATGTGAAAGTATAAGAAAAACATGAATTTATTTCAAGTGTTATTGAGCATGTCAAACATATGTGTGATGTTTTGAATTATATGTGACACCTTTATTTGAGATGCATGACAACTTACTTGATTATTTAATATATTCTGCTGGGTTTAGAAGGGTGTTACATTACACCCTTGTCTAAAGTTACTGTTTTTTCATTAAGTATGAGTAAATACTAAAAATTCCAAAACTACACCAACAATTTTAAATTACAAGAAATTTTGAAATTTCTGGTAAAAAGTCATAACTTTAATGAGTTTTTACTGGAAATTTAGAATTTCCCGTAAAAACTCTTGTATTTTTATTGGAAATTTCGAAATTTTCAGTATAAATGTATGAGTTTTTACTAGGGATTTCAAAATTTCTGAAATTTACAACATGAATTTTTTTCCGTAAAATATAGGTATTAGTTCAAAGATACCTGATTTTTTTTAAAAATCACTATAATTTTATATTGATAATTTTATAATGAACTATCAGAAATTTGGTATGTTTATCAAAAATTTATAATGAGCTACCGAAAATTTCATTTGCTCTTTTTGAACCAACTTTGTTCATGGACTTTTTTGGGTGCCGCCAGGTATAATCTTTGTGATCGCAAATTAAATTCTCCTACAACACGTCTCTCCTAGTTGTATTATATTTTTTCTCTCATTAGTTACCGTGCCTGTTTGTTTTTAGGTTTAAAAAAATAAATATTTTCTTTGTATTTTTAAAAATAGATTTTATAAAACTATTTTTTAAAATATTATAGGTTTTTTAATATTTGTATTTTTTTAAGTTGAAAGTTTAATTTTGACATCCTATAACATAAATATACATTATTAAAGATTAAAACATAGTCGAAATCCCACATTTTAAAAACCAGTAGAAACATATAAGGTCATTTTGAGTTACACCTTTTTTTATTTACTTTATTTCGGAATGTATCTCTAGAATATTTATGCAGTTATATTTCCGTAATATAGACAAACCAGTAGCAGAGTCAAAACCAAGTAATTTTCCAAAATAAAATTAACATTGATAACATAAAATAAGCATTACAATGATAATTGCAACATAAAATGCAACATTACACTTCAATATTCTGGTGAACGTTTCAACATCTTCGACCGATCTCGAAATCATTGCTTCCAACTCGGCGAAACGTTTGTTTCAAAACGGAAATACATATTCCACATAGCCCTTATATCTGTTTGCATCTTGAGCTCAAATTTTTCGAACTCAATCTTCCCTTCGTTGTCAATTGATAGTGAACAATACTCAAGCTTCACGATCCTTCAATTGTCTATGTAAGATAGGAGATGGTGGATTTTGTCTTTGATATCTTCGAGAGAGGTGAAATCGGCGAGCTTAAACATTCACCCGGGTGTAGAGCTGGAGAAGGAAACCTTTGCGACATACCAATCAATGTTAATTGTGACATTTGAGACATTTTAAGTTTGTGTGAAATATAACATTAGAGAACCATAATTTATAAAATCCATTGATCTCTGAGTGCAACTTTCTGTTTAGATGTGTTTTGTATGATGTCAAAACTAAGAAACTTTAGCATTTATGTGCATTGGTCGATATCATCTGATTCTAGTTGTTCATTATGCATTTTAGCATTATGAACCATGTCAGCATGTTTGAAAATAGTTTTGAAAAAGATTTATGCATTAAGAAAAGATTTTTATGCATAAAAAAATTCATTTTTGTGTGAAAAACTCTCTACAGCTCGACACATAAGATTATAAGTCGACCTATAGAAGAACTTTTTAACTACAAGTCGACACATACGATGCATAGGTCGGTACATGTGCTATAATATTAAATCCTATAGGTTCTATTCCATCTGCTGCCTATAAAGTTCGGCGCATAACATGTATAGGTCGACACATGACTTGTATAAGTCGACCTATAAATCAAAAATCTTGAAAAGTTGCATTTTTTAATTCATTTTTCTTCTCACGTGCTCACATATATATATACCTACTACATGCATCATTTCTTATCAATGATCTCGGTAAAATCATAAATGAAACCTAGAACATACTAAAAGTCGTCATCATCTTCAACCTTGGTTTTATGCATACACACAAATAAAGTACACATAATCATTCATTGTTTGGGTGCCATCTAAAATAAGTTGATAAGGTCCAATTTAGCTTGTGGTATTTTAAATTAGGTTGAGATCTTATGGGGGTTTCAAATAAGAAAACCAAGGTAGGGTTTTCCTTCCAGATAAAAGTATTGGTTTGAATGTTTTGGACAAAATTACTAAGTTTGGATTCGATTGAGTGAAGGCTTTGAAGAGTTGCGGTTCTTACAAAGAAGTAGTATGAGACGGTGAATCAGATTAGCATTGTTGGGTGACTTGATGAAGCTCAGATCAAGGGATGAGGAATTTCTAGAATCAGGATCAAGATTAAGGTTTGTTGGGTTGCATTGCTACATTTCTCTTGTGAAAATACTATTGCAAAGTAAGTAATTACCTTAACTTAATTCGAATTCAAATTGAAGGTAGACTTACCCATAGCGAGACCGATTGAGGAACTTCCTAAACAAATTATTGTGTACTCTCTCTATACTCTTTATATTTTACGGAAGAGAGTCATGGTTTCGGAAAGTAAGATATTCATTAGTTGTTGGAATCGGAATTATAATTAAAATGTGTCTTTATTCATTTATAGTAGAATTCACCCCTAAAGAATATTAAACATTTTAGTTAATAAAAGAAAAGAAAGTATTTAATATGGTTGAAGTGAATTCTGAATCTGACGTAGTACAAGCACAGTAGTAGTAGTAGAAAGGGAAAGTGAGAAATAATTGAAAACAAGAAAATGTCTTTGGTAATGAAAAACAATTATTGGATTCTGAGACATGGCAAAAGCATTCCCAACGAGCGCGGCATCGTTGTTTCATCCATCGTAACTAACTAACTAACCCATCTTTTCAATTTTCATTACTTTAATTAATCATGTTTATGTATTCAATTTTGATTACTTTAATCAAATCACAGGAAAATGGCACGCGTTCTGAATTTCAATTAGCCCCTGACGGAGTTAATCAAGCACAACTCGCTGGGAATTTATTTCAAAAGGTTCTTTTCATTTTATCTTATTCTTACCTATATAGCACAGTGTTTCTGTCGATGTGGAACACATGTAATATCTGTTACGATTACGAGTGTCGCCGTGTCAGTGTCGGGATCGTTTTCAATTTCAACCTAATAATTTTGCGTTCAACAGGAACTAGAGGCTAATAATATAGCTATTGCTAATGTGCGCATTTGTTATTCTCCTTTTTCAAGAACAAGCCATACCGCAAATGTTGTTGCAACTGAATTGAACATTCCTTTTGATGGCTCTCAGTGTAAGGTCAGAGATTACACGAATTTTACTGAAATACCCCTATTTGTTCTAATAGAACAAAACTTCACTGCTTGCTTGCTTCTATTTGTTTACGCAGGTGTTCGATGATCTTCGAGAGCGGTATTTTGGTCCTTCCATTGAGCTTCTGTCTCATGATAAAGTAAGTGATGCTAAATAACACTCTGCTTAGATTTAACTGTGTTGGCACTTCACCCTAATTGGAAATTAATGATTTTTAATTTATTTGTCTTTGTAATGTTTGGTATTCGCATATATTATATAGAGGTATTGATAATTAGCACGATTTTACAAAAATGTTACTGACTGCAATTTGTGCAACTGCAGTATTGGAAAACTTACTTATTTTCTTCGTCCATTCATTAACAGTACGCAGAGATTTGGGAATTAGATGCGAAAGATCCTTTTGTTGGGCCAGAAGGAGGAGAAAGTGTTAAGGATGTTGCTGGTAGACTTGCAAGAACAATGGCCGTAATTGAATCAGAATTTCAAGGGTACTGATTTCTGCCTGAAATATCATTTGTCGTTTCAAGCACAGATTCACATTGAAATGCATATACTGTCCAAAATTTCAAATAGTTGATTTATTATTTCGACTTGTGATCCAGTCCATGGGTTCTTCTATCTGTGGTTACAATATATTATTCAACATCGAGATTGTTCTTATTTCTTTAAGTATGCTTTGGTGTTTTTATTCATATTTTATCCATTAGTTTTATTTTGGTCCGCGCAGATGTGCAATTTTGGTTGTCAGCCATGGGGATCCTCTGCAAATCTTGCAAACAGTTCTGCATGGAGCTAATAAACATAAGGAACTGACTTCTGACGACTTAGCTTCAATATTAGCGGCAGTTCAGGTGGCACCAATCTTGTCCCAGCACCGCCAATACGCACTGAATACCGGAGAGCTCAGGAGAGTCATTTGAAATTTGAGGTCTAGCATAAAAACAATTTACTATCACCTTTTAAACCATGCCCAACTTCAGGTATTTGATCTTATAATCCATTATTATTACGAAAATGTTCTTCAGACACAAATTCTTAGTCCCGACATTGTATAAACTATGATTTTGATACACTTTTGAATTTTATTACTATTACTTTTCTCATCCCATATCCAAATCACACTATCCCAAGAGTATATTATGTACGGTGTCGGCATAGGTGTTGCAATTTTCTTGATAGTTCTTGTGAGTTTTAGTCTTGGGAGGCAAGTCCTTCATGAGATTTGAGTTTGGGACCAGATTTACAAGCTAGATCCCGGTAAAGAAATCTATCTGTTTTGATTGTGCTGTTACAATGTCTGAGATTTTAGAAGCACTTATTTTATCAGCTTTTCATTGATTTAATTGATTTGTTTGAAAATCACTTAATTGTCTTCATTGCTTTATGAGTTGAGTATTTGCCATTTGTCATTGTTAATCAGTTACTGGTTGTTTGTTGCTTAATCTCAGACATTAAATGCAATGAGCTCATGCTTGTAAATAATAGAATTGCGCATTGAATTAAGTTGTTGTAGCAATGCTTAAAAATGTTTAATTGATGTTTTCCATAATATATTGTTACAGTTTATCTGATGTCTCTTGAATGCAATTACTTTTTATTTGAATGTGGTTTTCTTCCTAAAACTATGGGCTTATATCAAACCATGAATGAACCATTTTTCTTAAATTTTACTTTGTCAGACAATCAATTGATGATGATTAATTCTATTAAGGGATACTCATCTTGTTGTCTATAAAGATTTGTTTATAAATTGCTGTAATTGCCAGAAATGTTCATATGTAAGGCACTGCAATGTTCTCAGATGAAAATATTAAATTTCATGAAATTGTCATCTCTTTTTAGATATTTGGATGGGACAGTTATTGGATATATGAGAAATTGATTGTTTAACTTTTTATTTTTATTATATGGTTAAATATGTTTTTGGTCTTCATAAAATTTTAAATTTCGTTTTTAGTTTTTCAAAATATTTCTTTTAAAGAATAGTCCTCCTAAAATTTTATCCACATTTTTGGTCTCTCATGTAACTTAGCGACAATTTTTACAACTTAGCGACTGAATTAACAATTGTTTTAGCGATGATTTATTACTTAGCGATAGATTTAACGACAATTTTAGTATTAGAGATCAAAAGTGTGGACATAAATTTTAGAAGGATCATTTTTTAAAGGAAATATTCTAAAAAACTAAAAGCGAAATTTAAGATATTTAGAATGATCACAAACATATTTAACATTTTATTATATTGGAGGTCTTTTTATTTATTTATTAATAAATTGGGGGTAACTAATTCAGGGTGACATGACACCAATAAAATTAAATCATATGGAATGAAAAAAATATGAAGTCGAAATATATTTCAAAAGAAGATTGTTTCATAAAAATCAATGGTGAACTAAATCTAAATCTCTCTCAATAAGATTTGAATTAAAAAAAGGGAAATGCTAACCAGTGTCCTCAGAGCACTTTTTAAAATTTTAAATAGTAAGTTTTTATAGAAGTATGTGCAATGATGTGTAATAATGTGCATTGAAAATTGAAGTGTTTGAATTTTTTAAAGAATAATTTCTTAATATAGAATGTTTAAATAGTGCCCTGAGGGCACTGGTTAGCAAGACCCTTAAAAAAAAATTAAACTAAATCAATTCTTTACTTAGTCTTGCCTTAATTTCAATGGAAAAAATCAAAATAAACATGCTTGAAATTGTAAATGACATGTTAAGATTTCAATGGAAAAAATCAAAATAAACATGCTTGAAATTGTAAATGACATGTTAAGAGTAATTCTAATTGAAGAATGCCATATATTCCTATGTTATAAAGGCATCAAATATGTAGAGAAATTTTTAATGCACTCTATATATTATTTAGACATTATGTGAAAAATACTAAAATGTTTTCGGATTTTGGTGATGTACTTTGAACGCATTCAATTTTGATTTAACATTAAAATATTTTGGAGATGTATTTTCAAACTTATTTCGTAGATGCATCTTCAAACTTATTTTGAAGATGTATTTCTGAAAGATATTGGAGTTTAAATCGCGTTAAAATTCTTCCTCTTCATTTTTAAAAATACACACTACAACAAATAACGTTTTTCATGACGAAATTTTTACCTCGAACAATAAAAAACTGAGGTATAAAGACAAGACGCGCTATTTTTTTATCATTTTAAAAAAGCATAAGTTCTCTCGGTTTCTAATAAAATTAATGTGAAAAAACAACTCAGTACAAGCTTTGATTCTCAGCTATCGCAATTTATGATTTTATTTGTTTATAAGTGCAAAACATGCAAAACATACAAGTCTACCTGCAAATTTGACAACCTTAGTGATGACAGGGGTATAATTTAAAAACAAATGAGTTGACTGTGAATAGATTTCACTCGAAAATGCATTTTCAGATTCTACAGATATTTTTGGTTGATGTTATAATGAAAGGTCTTCCTCCCACAAAGAATGAGATTCTTGACTATCCTAAGCTAAGTCTTTCGTCTTTTGCATAACCTAAAAAGCTATAAGCAAGGTATTAAAGATGTGCTCCCCCTAATGACTCAAAAAAAAATTGATTTGCGCTTTGAAGTGAATGCCTGTCATGAGATCAAAACCTAGCTAAAGACACAAACCCCGAGAAATAGTACCCTTGAGATATCTCAAGATGTGCTTGACAGCTTGCCAATGAAAGTCCAGAGGTGCAACCTTAAATTGCACACCTCATTGACAACAAAACGAATGTCAGGCGATGGTGGCATATTGCAGTGCACCACAACCGATTTGTTCATAGTGGGATATAAGAGAGCATCATAGCAAGTCTTAGAAAGTTTTATACCAACAAACATAAGAAAAGAAAAATAGAATTTGGATTCAATCATATTAGTTTTAATTAGGAGATTTATGATAATATTTGCCTTGAAAGAGTGACAAAGAGCCATTAGATTTGTTTTTGACCTCCATGCCTAGAAAATAATCAAGTTGCCGTCCTTTAGAGAAAATATTGAGTGTAGCTTAGATACAAGTGATTTAGTGAGTTCTCTGTTGTTACATGTGATGATGATATCATCAACCTACACTAATGTATTTTTCGATAACTGTTCTGGTTTTGATTACTTTGTACACTACTTATTTTTTAGTAACAATACTAATTGTGGCCACAGCATTCAAGATATTCTATCTTATGTGCCTAAACAATGAATTTGTCTTTCTTTAACAACATCTGAAATTTTGAATCTATAAGGGTCAAGAGGAAGGATTTACTCTCATTTGAATTCCTTATATATATATATACACTCACACAAACACATATGTAACTGTTTTCAAGTTAAAGATCACTACATATTAAAGAGCCACGAGATTTTCTACATTGCCATTGTGGCTGGGAAGAGCCTATCTAAGAAGGTATATACACCACCTCCTAACAGCATTGCTCCGCTGTTGAACAAGCAAAAACCAGAAACATGGAAAATATACAAGTTATTCAATTAACAAGTGGAAACTCTTGAAACTACCAAGTAGTCAGTGTGTGATGATGTGTAAGGGGGAACAGCAGTGCTACCTTCAAGTGCTTAATGAAAAATTCAAAAAAAAATTACCTTACAGGATTGATCCATGCTGAGTACTTGCGAAATGAAAGCAAACTCTGTCAATACAGATTTAAATGAGACAATGGTTTTCAATGAGATATATATCTCTTAAAGGTTACACTATAAAACCAAAAGAAAATGTTTATGAACCTGTAAGGCGCCAGCAAAAGAAGCAGCCAAAAGTAAGGGAGAAATGTATCCTGTTGTGTATGTCAAAAGCAAGCTGCCTCCAATCACTGGATTCTGTAAAGAAATATTCATTGGAGGCAAAGTTGACAAAAACCGTGGCCGACTACACTTAAGTTTTCGTAATGATTCATTTGAAAGAATCAGGATTCATGACAGAGTTCATATCCGAAATATAAAAAACAATAGGGATTTGTATCCAATCAAAACATGACTCGCATGTATTGTAAGATATTAATAAGCACAATTCGTACATATATTCCTTGATATGCAGCAAAACTGCATGATTATATATTCGACGCACTAGAAAGCCATTTGTCATCGGGTGCAAAAACATCACAAACATAGTTTACTTGACATATTAGATTTAAAATGCAACCAACAAAATCTACTTGACCGGTGAGTTTTTAAGCCGAAACTAATGAGCAAATAGCACTGGTTTACCCTTGGTTCTCTTTCCAACACATCATATAAATGTTGCCATCATGAAGCAATATTGGTTACAAACAATAAGTACCTTGGATGCGGCGACATATCCCAGAAGGGTAGCCAGAACAGGTGTACTGCATGGTGAGGCAGCTAATGCAAATGTAAGCCCAGCCAAATATGCTTGCACACCTAAGAGTAGAATTCCTTCATGTTAAATTCTCTACATTGAAATACATACTGAAAAAACAAAAGAAGTGAGCATTAGAGCATTGACTTACTTGATGGAAAATTGGCAGCCACAGAACGTGGATCAAAACTGTCGAAGAATGAGGGGAGCTGTAATTCAATGATCTGAAATTTTTTTCTCAAGGTGAATACAATAGCCAAAAATTCTACCCGAGAAAGTTTTTATAGTTTTGTTAACTTATAAGAACTAGATTCAGTGAATCAGTGGCTTAATCTAAAAATCTTTGAAATTTGAGGAATGTTTTCTTGCAAAACATAGATGGCACGCATCAGACTATCTCTGATGAAAATGCACTGAGCTTAAAGTAACTAATGTAAAGATTAGCTGAACATTTGATTACATAACTTGATCTTAGATAGTTAAGAGCGAAAGAAACTATGTCGTCAGAAAATTATAAGTCTGCTTTAACAGGCCTAAGATACTGTACTGTTTTACAAGATGTAAAGATCTTATTTAGAAAAGGGTGCAAAATATGA